TTTACCCCAGATGAGACAGACCTTGTTACTCAGGTTACACAAAGGATGAGAAGTAAGGTGCATCAAATCACACAGTCAACTGCAACTTCTGCCTGAATCCCCTTCCCAGGAGCACTGCTGGTCTGTGGTGCCTCTGCTTGATGTCAGAGGCAGAGGACAAGAACCCAGTCATCACTGGTCTACATGAAATTTGCAGCACTAGTAAATCACATAAGCACATGGCAGTTTTCACTTGAGCCAGTTGCACTCAAGCCTCTGGAAAAAAAAATATCCTGAAGCTCACAGAAACTCCCATCTGTTTTGGGGATGCAGACCATAACCTCTCCAGAGGCACAACTCAGATCCTGGCCACCACAAAAGACTTTCTCTCTTTCTCCCAGGGCAACATAGAAATTCACTGTTTAATTTGATCTTATTGACTGGCCCACACAAGGGGAAAAAGGGCTGGAGGAATAAACACACTCACAGGGAAAGACTCACAGCATCATTCCACTGCACTGGTTGCTGGGTCTGCTGCCAGCCAAACTGTCAGCATGCAGCATGTGTGGAACCCAGCACCTAACTCAGTACCTAACTCAGAGCGCCCTTAGCTGAAAACTGTGGGCTTCTGCATGCAACCACCTATTCCCATATCCACTCACACAGACAAGGTACCCAATCACTGAATACATCCCCAGAGGATAAGAAACGGCTCATTAAATTAAAAAATACAAATACAGGTAGTGGCAAGGAGCAGCTGCTCCCTCCCTCCCCACCTTTATCCAGAACACACAGGCCACTCTTGCCACAAACCACCCAAAAGCATCTCTGCTCGCTTCAGCACTGACCCTTCCCCCTGCTCTGCCCAGCCCTGCTGAGGGATTCCAACACTCACAGCAGCACCCAACATGGACAGGCTGGCTGTTCTGACAGCCGTGAGAGCAGACTGGGGCAGACCTGCAGCCCATGGCCCCCACACCTCACTTGTGCTCCCCAGAACTCACCCATGGGCTGGATGGGGGCAGCTGCATTGACATTTTGAGCAGATGGATCTGTTACACCTCCTTGACCATCCAGCAAGGACTGCACAGCCAGGACCGTCTGATTATCCATTCCTTGAAGAAGACACAAGCACAGGTGGTAAATCAAGCATGGCATGAACAGGGATGGAGCACCCGGGGACCAGGAGCTCGCTCAAAGCAAGTCATGGAGGGAAGTTCTCTGCTGCACAGCCTCCCTCACCTTCTCACCATGCTCCACAGCATTAAGATTCACACTTAAGCAACAGACTCCTGTGTGTCTCTACAGCTTTGGTACATGCAGAAGAAAAGGAAGAAGTACAAGGAAAGCTGAAAGAGGGCTTGGTTCCAGATGCCCACCAGCAAGGAAGGATGCTTAGATAGCTACAAGGCAGACACTTGGAAGTCATGGGCTGCCCATTACAGCAGCCTGGGTGGCTCTCTCTGAGGACACGGCAGGATACTGCAAAGACAAGCCATCAAGGTTGCTGAAGACAAAATGCCTGGTGTGCAGCATCCTGGACTCAGCCCACACCTGAGCTTCTTTAAGACATTTTCCTAAAACACCTCCCTGTTCTCAAGATCAGCCTTCCTGTGTCTGATCTGACACAGGCCTACAAACTACAGGAGGATTTAGATACAGCAGGAAGTATTAAGCAGGAGCTCTGGGGAGCACTGGCTGCCACTCAGTGCTGGGACACACAGCAAGCAGGACCACGGCTCCCTCCACTCTCTGCACCTCTCCATGAGCGCCTCTTCCTCATGAGCTGCCAGTCACACGCTCTTATTTCCATCTCCTGTGAGGCTCCATGGGTGCATGCATGCCCAGACTGTTGCAAGAACCAGCTCACTTGGCCTGGCACAAATATTTTTCATTACAGGCTCTAAAATGTTCCCACTAAATACAGATGGGGACTGCTCACCTACGGAGGGAACAAGGCCAGAGACACACAGCCGCCGCATCGAGCTCAGCATGCACATTTTCTTCAAGATCTTTGCCAAATTAAGCTCTTATCTAGTTGGACCTTGGGATTATGTGCTGCGCTAAAGAGAAAATTCACCAGTCCAATCATTTTCCAATGGTGCAGATGAGCAGAGGCCCCACTGAGAGGTCATACGTTTTAAAGACATTCTAAACACCCATTTCTCCAGCGCGAAGCCAACAACAGTGAGACTCCACGAGCACCATTTCCATCAACCATCCTGCAGCAAGGAGGGGTCACACCGCTGCACAGTGCCCTTGGCAGACAGCAGAGCACTGTTCTGCAGCTGCCAGGGGGCGGAGGGCGGTAGCAGCTACTGGAAAGCAGCAGATCACACTGCCACACCGATGGGAGCCCTGTCACATAAATCACAGCCAGGCACAGCAGAGCTGCAGGGCCAGTTTTGCAAGCCTTCACTCTGCAGAGTGCTGCATCCCATCCTGCAGGCACAACGCCGCTGGATCCTTTCACACCGGCTTTCAAACACACCTCCTGCTCTGCACAGCATCTCCTGGGCAACTGCAAAGCACACAAAGCACACTGCAGGCTCTGCTTGACACATCCAGAGCAGTGAGGGGAACAGAGCAGCCTTTTTGCAGAGGGAGTAAGCTAGCAGGAGACAAAAGAAAACTGGGGATCAAATGCTCAGTTTTAGTATATTTGGGGAATAAGCAAAAAGAGTGGAAATGAAGAATTATTCCCATTGCACCTATTGCACTTGGTGTGCCCAGCCCTCCTTCTGGCTCACTGACAGATCTTCAGAGTGAAAAAGCTGCACGGTGGCCTCAATCCTGCTTGCAGGATCAGCAGCACACACAGCCAAAGCAAAGCAGCCCAAGACAACAGAAATAACTGCTCTTCATTCTTTTGTCAATTTGCACTGATGCACAGGGTGTCCCTGCATTTCACCAGTTAAACTCACAATGACAGACTTAACACAGAGGGAAACATCTAAGATTTAGTAACCAACAAAGGCAGGCTGGCACAGCTGCTTGGTTGTGCTGCTGCAGCTCCATGAGACAGCCATGGAGCAGTTCTGCACTGATAACAGCCTGCAGGATGCTCTTCAGCCACAAAACCTTAAAAAAAAAAAAAAAAGCCATCTGTGCCTTCCCAGCAGCAGCATGCCTTCCCAAACCTGAGAGAAACACACAGATTTGGGGAAGCCAGGATAAAAATCCAGGATTGCTGATTTGGGCTTTTATTTCCCTCTCCTTTCAAATCTCTCTCACTTTAGAGACCAGAACAAAACCACCCACTTCACCCAGGTTCTCCTATCACCTCAAGCCCTGAATTTCACACAGTAAACCCTTTGGTTTGCTCCTGCTAACACAGCTCCAAGGGCTGCAGTGGCAGCGCAGAGGTGTCCCTGCCCCATGGCATTCACTGGGGACACGACTGCCTTGAGCACCACACAGACACTGAGTCACCGTCAGCTTGTAATCAATCCAGTCAGCAAAACAAAGCAAATAGGTCCAGCTATCAAGAGCTGGGAAAAAGAAAGAAAAATAAACACAGTTTGCAAAGATGCTTTGGCCTCCCAAACTCTGCAACGAAACCAACACAGCACGGAGCTGACTGCAGAAAGGAAACGGAGCACCTGGTCACACACAAAGTGCTGTCAAAGGCATCAAGAGCTGACCAAACTGAGGGAAATATTTGTTCTTGCTCATCCTGCTGCTGCTGCGGCCGCAGGTGCTGTTTGCACAGCAGTGTTATGATGCTGACACAAGGCCTGGGTGACAACGTGTCAAAGGGAAAGATGGAATCCTATCTGGGAAAAAGATGCTGCTTTTCCGCAGCAGGCTGACCCCAAGCACAGAGCCCTGTGTAGCCAGATGCAGGCCATGCCACAGAGCCCTGCACACACTGCACGGCCCCGTGCACCAACATCTGCACACACATAGGGGCAGGCAGCAGGCTGGGGGCAGGAGGGAAGCGTGAACAGCAGCAGGGCCGGGTCCTGCAGCCCTGGGGATGGGGGAGCAGCCAGAGTGCTGGCAGCAGGGTGCTGACGGTGTCCCAGCTGGGTGATTGGGTGCCCCTGGGCTCGGCGTGTCTATCGTACATCGCTGTCCCAACGGGCAAAGGACAGCGAGGTGATGGGGAGGCCCCAGAACGCGGGGACACGGGACGGCAGGGGACGCGTTGTGCAGGGACGGGAGCGCCCGCCCGAAGCGGCGAGCTGCAGGGGTGCCCAGGAGGCAGGGGGCAAAGGGAGGCCCAAAAAGGGAACGGCGTGAGGAGGGGAGCGGCGGGCCGCCACGAGAACCGACGGGCACCGCGATGCCGCGGCAGCCTGGAGGCGCGGAGGTGACGGAAGGGCCCGGCCGCGCTCCCGCCCCTGCAGCCGCCGCACGGGGCCGCTCGCACCGCCCGTCCGCGGGGATGGGGGGGAGGGAGGCGGCCTCGAACCGCGGGACCCCGGGGTCGGGTCGGACGGGAGCGGCACCGCCGTTACCTTCCAGCGCCTCGAAGATCGCCTGCGCCATCTTGGAGCCGGGGCGGCCGCGACCCGACAGCCGGAGCGGGCATGGAGGGAGGAGGGAGGGGAGGCGGAGGGAGGGGCGGCACCACCCGCCGCCAGGGGGCGGCCTCCGCACACCGAGCGAGCCCGGGCCGGGAGCGGGGCGCGCGGCGGGGCAGAACCGGGCAGCGAGCCGCTCTCCCCGGGCGGTGCGCGGCCGGGGGCGGCTGGACGGGAACGGCGCCGCTCACGAAGCGCCCGGTGGAGCTTTAGCATGGCACCGGGGAGGGCGCCGACAGCATCCCGGCAGCCGGCGCTGCGCCGAGGGTCGGGAGCGCCTCGGGACACCCCTCAGGGCCGGCCGTGCCGAGCGCGGAACCGACCTCACCCCGGGGGCAGCGGTTGGCTGCCGGCACGAGAGGGCGAGCGGGATGTCGCCGCCTGTTGGCGGAGAGCGTTGACGGACAGCCCAGGCGGCCCGTGGGCACTGCGGGCGCGGCCCCGCCCCCCGGAAGCGAGCGCGCCGAGCGCTGCGGAGTGCCGGGCCGCGCCATGGCGGGCGGCGGCGCTCCGCCGTCTGCGCTGCTCCGTGCCATCAACGCGCTCCTCCTGCAGCGCCGCTACCGCGCCGCGCTCGCCGTCCTTAAGGGCTTCCGCAACGGGGCCGTGTGAGTGAGCTGGGCGGCGGGGAGCGCTGCGAGATCCGGGCCCGCACGCGAGGGCTGGGGCGGAAATGCTCCGGGGTCGGGGCGGGCTGTGCCGCCGGGGCTGAGCGGCTTCTTCGTGTCCGCTGCTGTGTGCCGGCATTGCGCGGCGCTGTGCTGCTGCCGGGCCGCCCGGAAAGAACGGCCGGCACGCTCCTGCAGCACCTCCGGGCTGTCGGTAGAATGGATCTGTGGTCGTTTGATAGCTTGGTGCAAAAAACATCTTTCTGCTTCTCGCTTTTGCAGGTATGGAGCAAAAATTCGTGCTCCGCATGCCCTGGTGATGACTTTCCTGTTCAGGAGTGGAAGGTACCGCCCTGCTTCTTCATTTCTGCACTGCTCCCTGGGTTGCTGCCATCCAAGCGTTAGTTATTCCTTGCTCCTGTAGAGCCCCCTTTTAGAAAACAGAAAATAAGTCAGACGCATTCAGTGCACACTGTTGTGTTGAGCAGGGTAACCTGTGTGTGCACAGATGGACATACTGCTTGATCATAGAATCACAGAATGGCCAGGGTTGGAAGGGACCTCAGGGATCATGAAGCTCCAACCCCCTGCCACACGCAGGGCCACCAACCTCCACATTCCACACCAGCCCAGGCTGCCCAGGGCCCCATCCAACCTGGCCTTGAACACCTCCAGGGATGGACGGGGCATCCACAGCCTCTCTGGGCAGCTGTTCCAGCACCTCACCACTCTCATAGGAAAGAACTTAAATCACTCATGCAGTGGTTGTTGAGGAGCAATGGACAGGTGAGAAATTAGCAGATGCCATTAAAGACATCTGCTCCCCTCTGTGCTTTCATACAGGGGGCTGAGCTGCACCAGTGCCCATTGTGGCTCTTTCCAGTTAGCCAGAAATTTGAACTTAGATAAGTAAAAAAAAAAAAAAAAAAGAAGCTCGTTGGCTGTTTGTAGAATTGGACAAATGCAGAGTGTGTGGAGAGCTGGTGAGTGACCCAGAGTCAGTGATCCCTCCTCCCTCACAAAGCGGGAGATGCTTTTGGGGGGGGGTATCAGAGCTATTGATGTGGGTGGGCAGGCTGGAGGCATGTAAGATCCGGGCTGGTCACTGGCAGTGCTGCCTTTTTGCTCTCCTAATTTTCTGTTTCTTTTGTTCAGTTTAAGAGAGAAATTGAAATCGATTGCTCAGGCCACGTACACTCATTCCCGGAACTTGGCGTATTTTGTGTTCACCTACAAGGGGCTGATGGCGTTGCAGTCCCGACTACAGGGGAAAAAAATTCCATTTCATTCTTTCTTTGCAGCCTGCATTGGGGGTTGGTTAGTGTTCGGTGAGAACAATCCCATCAACAGCCAGGTAAATGTCTCTGCTGAACGTTTGGTTGACAGAAAGACTAACAGATGGGTGGGTTGTGTGCCAGGAAGTGGTTGGTATAGGCTGGCCCATTTCTCCCTGTGCAGCGTTGCTTTTATAGTACAGCTCATTGTACAGAGTTCTCTTTTTGACTGTTCTGTGCTCAGACACTGGAGGTGGTTGTGTGCCCCCATGGTGATGTTTGTAGTTTGAGAGCTAAACATCCTGGTGAACCTCCAGAGCTGCACTTGCATCTAGGAGGACAGGTTGGCAACCCAAAGCTGTGGGGTTACCCCAGCCATCCTCTGCTCTATGGTAACTGTGCTCAATCTGCCTGCTTGCAGAGCTAAACCCACAAGCTTGAGCTTTGTTGTGTGTGGAGAACGGTTGGTTGCAGAGCTACACTTGACTAAATGGGGTAAACTGACAAAAGCTGCTCAGGGAAAGCTTGGTTTGAAGCTGCTTGTTACCAGTTTTAATGTGGGTCAATAAAACATGTAGGCAGAGGTGAATCACAAGTGTTCCACTTGCACACCCCCTGCTCTAAGACCATACCTTCCGTTGGGTTTCAGGTGGCGCCCAGAGTTCTGGGTTTGTATCTTGGCAGGCTAACTAGGCTGCTCTGTGGATATCAGCAGCAGCATCTGAGTTAGCATTGATGAAAGTTGTGCAACTGATCTGCAACTGCAAAGAGTTATTGCGTCAGGTGTAATTTCTTGCTTACTAAACTAGAGCACTTACATGGCAGTAGGACTTGGAAAAGACAGGGAAGGCACAAACATCTCCAGTTCGAGATGGCTTGATGTGTGAACCTACAGACTGTTTGCTGTTACACGGGATGAACTGTTGCTGCCTCTCTTGCACAGCTTATCACAGCTGAATCGCTCACTCTGATCAGATTTACCAGCCAGGCTCTTCTCCTGACGTTCTCTGGCTTTTCTCTCCGTGCAGATCATTATGTACCTGCTGTCTCGCATCCTGTTTGGCCTGTCTCGCCTGGCCGTGGAGAAGGGCTGCATCCCACAGCCCAAGCAGGATCCCTTCCCGCTTGTCGCAGCTCTGGTGTGGGGAACAGTTCTCTGGCTCTTTGAGTACCACCGGCAGACCCTGCAGCCTTCTCTGCAGGCCTCCATGACCTACCTGTATGATGACAGCAACGTGTGGCACGACGTTTCTGACTTCCTCATTTATAACAAAAAGCCTGAGAGCAAATAGTCGGCTCGTTGTACAACGCCTGTGGAGCGGATGGTGCCTTCCAGCAGCTAAGGGAAAAGGCGGTTCTCTTGCTCTTGGCTGATGAATGTGTTTGAATTAACACCTATCAAGGAGAGTTGCCTCTTGTGTCCTCATCAAAATATTCTCATTCATCTTCTGTTAGCTCTGTTTAGAGCTGCTAAATACCCCACGGAAACTTATTACAGTGCCTCAGGGAGAGTAAAATGCCTTGGGAACCTTCAGTAAAATCAGTCTTCTTTTCAAGAGACCTTATTTTTCTTTGGTTTTGTTTGCTTATTGTATTTCCTAAAAAGGAAAAAAAGAAAAAAAAAAAAAAGCACTTTTAATATGACAACTTGACAGTAAGTGGGGAATAGATCTAATCATGGAAGCAATGTTCTGGGCATTATCTGAATGCTTGCGAGGTGGAAAGGCTTTTCTGTGCTGCTGCACTCATGTAGTGGTGAGATGGGAGTTGGGGACCTGCTTGGTTCTGAAAGCAAGGATGTTTTTTCTTGATTTCAATGTAAGACAGGAAATGCAGTGCAAACCGTTGCAGGGATAGCTGTGTTCTCCCTAGGAGAGTTCCTCTGCAGTTTTCTCTCTGGGAGACTGAATCAAAGCATGAAGTCTCTCTGATACAAGCCCTGTAAATATTCTTGCTCAGTTCCTCTCATGCACTTGGGATCAATCTGTTCCTCTACAGAGCACACTAATTAATACCCTGCAATTCCTTAAAACTTTTTGATCAAGCTTTTAAAAGCTGATTGAACTAAACACCCAAACCCCCCGTGCTACTTAAGGCTCCTTTGTAAGCAGGCTGAGGCACATTGCCTGCCCTCAGATAGAACTCTCTTTGTATGTAGCAGTGACACTTCTTAACAAGCACTTTAAGTTTGGTGGAGGATCACCTGGGTTACTCTTAGGTTCAGAATTCCCCCACCACAGCTGTGGGGTGCATTAACTGCAAGCAGACCTGGATGTCCCTGTTGTTACTGCAGTCTTGCTGCTGCACCATGGAGCATGGAGGTACCAATGGTCTCCCTTCTAAAACTGCACTGCTGAGTGCCAGGAGCAGCACACAGTGGGTTTTCACAGAGGGCCGACTGGGCAGCTGAGAAGTGCTCCATTTCATCAAGAACAGCTGTTTTCAAGTTTGTACCATCAAACTGTTAACACTATGAATTACTGATAGTGCTGTATGACCATTCACATAATGATGTGCATTAAAATAATTCCTGACGTGCTGGTTTTATGTGGTGATATCATAAGAGTCATTAAGCAACTTACTCTAATTTTGCCCTTTTGTCTCAGACAGGACTGCTTTGTCTCCTCCTCTCTTACCTCCTGTTTTAGCTCTCCATTTACACATCCCTTTTTCAATCCCACTGGTGCTCATCTTCATCTCCTGCAGTCTCTCCTTTGCCCTCCAAGCTCCAGCAGTTTGTTGTATTCAACTGTGTGACTGGAGTGGTACATTTGTTGTGGTACCTTTCATCTTAAGGTATTTTTCCTTCTCATCTAAAGCTCTTTTCCTACTACTATGTATTTCTCAGTGCTGCTTTGGCCTTTATATTTTCATGCTCTGTGTCAACAAGGGGGAGAGTGAAATGTTCCCTTTCTTGGTGTAGATGAACTTAAAGATTGAAGTACAGATGGAACTGTAGCTCAGTTCTGATTTCTTTTTAAATATCATGCCCTGGCTCCACTGGTGGAGGTCTGAAGCAGCACTGCATCCAATCTTTATATTGGACTAAATAAGATGGGATCTTTTGATGGGATTTGAGAAGACCATTCTAGAACTCAAGGGCTATGGCTTGAAAGTTTCTTCGTGAAACCATCAGACTAACAAATCTTTGTGTAATTGGAGCACAGCCCCCTGCAGGCTGGCCCTGTGAGCTGTTGTCTGTTAAGGTTTGCAACCTTTTGACCTTACTGCTGCCATTCCTGGAGAAAGGCTTCTGATTCTCTTAAATGTGGACTGCTGTGCTTCTGCCGGTAGTTGTGTTATGGCTGCGGTCACACAGTGCTTGTGCAGCACCTCTCTGGCCCTGCAAAGGGTCAGGATCTGCTGTGCCCCTTCAATCACAGAATCACAGAACGGCCAGGGTTGGAAGGGACCTCAAGGATCATGAAGCTCCAACCCCCTGCCACACGCAGGGCCACCAACCTCCCCATTTAACACCAGACCAGGCTGCCCAGGGCCCCATCCGACCTGGCCTTGAACACCTCCAATGCTCAGGGTGTTCTGGGCAGCTGTTCCAGCGCCTCTCCGCTTCCCCCTGACATCCAACCTCAATCTTCCGTCCCTCAACTTCAAACCATTTCCCCTTGTCCTGCTGTTATCAACCCTTTCAAAGAGTTGATTCCCCTCCTGTCTGTAGGCTCCCTTTAGGTACTGAAGGCTGCAATGAGGTCACCCAATAGCCTTCTTTTCTCCAGGCTGAACAAGCCCAGCTCCCTCAGCCTGTCTTTGTAGGGAGCTGCTCCAGTCCCCTGCTCATCTCTGTGGCTCCTCTGGACCCTCTCCAACAGCTCCCTGTCTTTCTTGTTTCTGGGGCTCCAAACCTGGACTCAGCACTCCAGATTGGTCTCACGAGGTCAGAGTAGAGAGGGACGATCACCTCCCTGTCCCTGCTGGCCGCGCCAGCCCCATCGCAGTACCTCCATGCTCTCTAGATGGCAGAACGAAGCCAATAGCAGCGCTCTAGGATCAACCTGATAGCAGCAGCCATCAGTCATCCTTGCTTCTGATGCCCTTTTCCTCCTGCAAATCTCTTCCCGACGTCACTTTCAAAGCAAATTGCTCCTGAGGCTCCAACCATCTGTACTTGTGACCCAGGACCCAGCTGCTGTCCCTACAAAACAAACCACAGCTCATCGCAGGGCAGGGGCTGTGCAGCAGCAGCCATCAGCTGCCCTTTGGGACGGTTTGTGTTCCCGCTGCGCGCGGGCAGGACGTTAAGCTGCAAGTCACTTCTTTCCCCAGGGAAGTAATTGGAACGGTTCTTTAACGGCATCGGTGCGCATCGCTGTTCCTGTGACCAGATAGCTGGGGATGGAGCCCTTCTGCTGCCGATGTGTTGGAACAATGCCGGCGTGTAGTAAAGAAGTGAACTAGAAGTAATTTGTCTGAGTCAGACTTTTGGATGCAGAAGTGACAACTCTCTGCCCTCCCCCAGCGCATTGTGTGAGGAGCTGAGCCCCCGTTTGTGTTGCTTGTTTTTTTTATTAGCATTAAAACCAAAAGGAATAAAGAGGCAGTTGGGAAGCCACCTGCAAATCGGCCACGCACTCACACATCACAAAGGGAGTAACATTTTTCCCCCAGCCCCAATGGTTTTGAATGTTAAGATGAACATGCTTTTGTCTACATCAGCCTTATTTTGCCCCGTTATTTCTTCCCAGGCACCCGACTCTGAGATGCTGAGTGCTCTAAAGAGGGACACAGCATCTCAGTGTTCAGCTCAGCTTGCCAAACACAGAGCTGTGGATAAAAGTAGAGTGTTGGTTTTGAAACCGTGCTCCTCCTTCACATTTCAAGTCTCTTTTTGCAGAGGTAATTTTAAAGGTTAATGAATGGAACTGATCAAAAGTTTTCACCCAGCCTCCAATACCAGACTGACTATCCTGAGCTATTAATCATTTATTTTATGAGCAAACAAAGCAAGCTTGAGGCTATTCACAGCACTGCGTGCTGCCCTGGTGTACGTTCTGTGCTTCACTTCACTTTGGAAAACAGCTCCTACGTTACTGCTCTTCTTCAGGGTTACTGAAAAACCATCTCCAGGACAGCTTTATTGTTTAACAAAGGTGAAAGCTCAATGGGTGTGTGATATTTGGTCTGGCTGAGGTACTGCATCCGATCCTTTCAGTTGAGGGTTAAGGAGAGGGGAAATCTGAAAGGAAAACTGCAGAACTTTGGTATCGGTGCTGCAAGGCTTCCTTGCCCTGGTAGGGAGGTTTAAGCTCTAAACCGAGCTGGGTGGGAGCAGAAGGGAGGGAATGTTCTCTGCCTCCCAGAGCAGACTGAGAGCAGCACCCTGCATCCCATTGGGAGCTGCCTGGTGCCAGTAGGGTACTGGTAACCACTACAGATACCCTCTCTGAGAAGAAGCTGGTATGACGAAGCCCATTTTCACTGTGTCAGCACAAATCTGACCTTTGAATACCATCCCAAGTCGTGTGCTGTTTCCTATTTGCCAGGCGGTGTTTGTTCGGATCACGCCAACCTGAGCAGACTGGCTTCCATTTTCTGTTGCTGGTTTTGCAATCCAGCAGATAAGGAGAGAAAACCAGGCACAATGCCATGCAGTGTAATGTCTGTCTGCTGCTGTTAATATTTTGGGGGTGCTAATCTTGAGTTTTCAACCTGTATGTTCACACCAGATTGTTGGAGGAGTTGACTTTTTTCCTTACTTAGAATTTTCAACTCTCTCCTTTCCTTGTGAGGCTGGCAATGAGGAGGGGAATAACAAGTGCTTTGTAACACGGGGGTTGTTGCCTCTGCTTTTGGTCTCACTGTGTCTATTTTAGGTCCATAATTGCTGTGTAATCCAGGAGCTGCATCTCAGCGGGTCAAACTGGGGCTGGGATGGACAACTGGCAACGTGTGCAAACTGGATGAACTCAGGAATGAACACGGCTGGAATGAACTTTTGCATTGCAGCCTGAGAAGTCAGTGTGGGCTGATGTGGTTAGAGGGCAAACTGCTCCCCGGTGCCTTGCAGCCTATCTCTGACACGTGCAGGTGCTCTCAGAGCGTGCAACTGTTCAAAAGGACACGAGCCCGAGTGTGCCTCTCCCATTAGCTAAGGAACAGAAGCACACATGCAAATGATTCAGGTGCTGCTTCAAAGCCGAGCGCTACAGAGGAGATATGTGGTAGAGGTGAGAGCTGTGGCAGTGGAGACAAAGGCAGCCCTGAGTGAGGAGCTCCAGGAGCACCTCAGGGAGGGGTCCATCATCAGCCCTGGGAGAAGCCAGACCAACACCTGGGAGATGATTTCAGCCTTATCTTCAGATGTTTGTTTTTCCCTTCATATTGCACCAGGCCATATTTCTTTCCCAGGTGAAGATCTGAGCTGGTGCCTCTCCCACCCTCTGGCTTTGCAGTGCCAATGGCTGCGCCGTGCACCTGCTGGGAAGTGAGCTCAGGCTGGGCGAAGCCACAGAGTCCAAACACACTGCTGTATGAAGCACAGAAGGAGAGGTTTTTCTCCAAACTGCTGCTCTAGTGCTCTGTATAATAACACAATGAAAGGAACAGCTCCTAACTCTTGGGAAGCAGGATCCAGCTGTGCCATCTCCCACGTGGATGTGGCCGTGCTGGAGCAGCAGCTCAGCACAGACTGTATGGTGAACTGCTGGAAGCCAGACCGAGCTGCAGATGACAAGGACAATAAATATGCTTCGGCACAGCTAACAGCACAGGGACATGTAGAACCTGTATCTTCATTCAGCTGCACACACGAGGGATGTGTAAGCCTTGTGAGCACTTCCTATGTCTGCATAGCCCCTCTGGCCTCATCCAGCACGTGGTCTGACCCACACAAGGCTCTCCCAACCAAAAATGGTTCACCTTTAGGAGCAATGAATGATAAGATCCCTAAACCTGAAACATTGTTCCAACGGGAAAGAAGCCAGGACAGGGATGAGGGGTTGGGTCCCTCTGTGGGAATTCAAAGAAGCAGCCTGGAGATGCTGAATGTGTCCCAGCAGTAAGCCAGGAGCTGTGAAAAAACCCTTCCTGAGGTTAAGGCAGCAGTGGTTGGAGTCCAGCCCTATGCTCTGAGCAATTTGCATCCTCCCAGCTCCCCTGCATGCTCCCACCACCACGAGATGACCATGTGTGACCTCAGAGACCCACAGACAGCCCATAAACATGACCACGGTGGGATAATTTTGGCCAAGTCTGCAGCTTGCAGAGCCCTCTGACCCCCCATCCCCAGAGGAGTTGTGCTGCAGTGTTGGCAGCTATCAGAGCTCAGCACAACGTGGTAGTTTATGGCAGCCCGCAGCTGTGCCAGGTGGGATTCATCCGAACGCAGGAAAAGCCCTCGTTTCCCCCAGCATTTGTTGCAGTGACAGTTTTGCCTTTCATTTGTCTTTGCATCTGCCCTTTTTCCAGTGCCACAAGAGCTGAAAGCCTCGGAGAATTGGCATGGGGAGGAGGGGGGGAAAGGGTGACGGGGGGGGGGGGGGGTAGCCCGCTCCCCCTGCATAAACTACAGCATGAATGAGGGAGAGGGGAATAAAACAAACCCCG